AAACCATCAAGGAAACAGTAATACATGAATCCAGCCAATCTATCTAGCATTTGATCAATAAAAGGGAGTGAAAAGTGGTCTTTTCTGGTAGCTTTATTAAGCTTTCTGTAGTCCATGCACACTCTCCACACATTGTTCAGCCTTGTAGGGATTAGCTCTTGGAGATCATTCCTTATTACTGTGATTCCTCCCTTCTTGGGCACGCACTGAACTGGACTCACTCACTTACTGTCAGATATTGGGAAGATGATTCCAGCATCTAGTAGCTTAATAATTTCCTTCTTTACCACTTCTTTCACGACTGGGTTGAGCCTTATTTGTCCTTCAATGGTTGGCTTAGCATCATCTTCAAGTAGAATCTTATGCATACAGATGGAAGGACTAATGCCCTTAATGTCTGCAATCGACCATCTGATGACTTCTTTCTGCATCCTCAGCACCCTTAGCAACTTATCCTCTTTAGTGCCTGTAAGCATAGAAGAAATAATCACAGGTAAAGTGTTACTTGCTCCAATATAGGCATATTTCAAATGTGAAGGCAGAGGATTAAGTTCTAGAGAAGGTGGTTCTTCAATTGAAGGCTTGAGGCATCTTGCTTCCTTAGTCATGTCCAACAGCTCAAAGGGTTGTTGTCTAGGATGCCACTTGGGGGAGTGGTTCAAGTAACTCAGGCAAGTGAGCCTGTACTCATCTTCCCCTTCCTGTTCTTCACTGCTGTCTGGACACATGAGTTCTTTGAGGAGTTCATCTTGCAGCACTTCTTCTGCCACTGCTTCTTCTACTTCTACCCTCTTCACCATATAGCAGTTGTGGACTTCGGCAAGGTATCTCATGTTTTTAAAGATGTTGAAGGTGACTTTCTCCCCATCAAATTGCAGTGTGATTTCCCCTTTTTTCACCTTGATGATTGCATCACTTGTTGCCAAAAAAGGTCTCCCTAAGATGATGGGCACATCCCTGTCTTCTTCCATGTCCAAAACCATAAAATCTGTTGGGTAAACGAAATTCACAACCTTCACAAGAACATCATGTAAAATTCCTTTTAGATAGGTTAATGACCTGTCTGCCAACTGCAAAGTCATGTTAGTAGGCACCAAAAATTTATCCAGATCAAGTGATTCAAATACAAACAATGGCATGAGATTTATACTTGCACCAAGATCTAGCAATGCTTTTGAAAATTCTCTGATTCCTACAGTGCTAGGAAGAGTGAAACTACCCGGATCTTTCAGTTTAGGTGGCAGTTTTCTTAGAATAGCTGCACTACATTCTTCAGTTAGAGTAATAAAGGCAGAATCATGCACTTGTGGTTTATTAGCTACCAGATCTTTCAAGTACTTGAAATATTTAGTCATTTGTTTAAGTGCATCAACAAGTGGAACATTGATATGTATGCTTTCCAAATTTTGAATAAACCTGTTGAGCCCTTCATCCACCTTGGCCTTCTTCTGTCTCACTGGATATGGTGGTATTGCATCATGTGGCTTCTGAATTGGTGCTGGGATTTTGATTTCCTCCATTCCAGGTTTTCCCACTGGTTGCTCCTGTTCAACCAAATGGTCATCATCATATTCTTTTCAGAAGATGTTTCCTTATTACCTGCAGGATCACTCGCGGGAGTGACTTTTTCACTTGACTGAGTGAGATGTTTTCCACTTCTGAGAGTGATAGCCTTTGCTTGCTCTTGATCATTTCCCTTGGGATTGACAATTGTATCACTTGGTAGACTTCCATATGGTCTTTCAGCATTTTGCTTTGCAATCTGAGCCAGCTGATTTTCCAGACTCTTGCAAGATACAGCCACATTCTTAATTGTATTCTGCACAGAAATCCATTCATCTTCTCTTGGGATGTATTGCTGATTAGAACGCTGTTGATTCTGATAATTGGGAGGTTGGCTGTCTTGTCTTTGAAATCCTGGGTTGAGTAGGCCTCTGATAGTTTCCTTGTTGTGATGCATTATTCCAATTGGGGTGCTGCTGATTTCTCCAATTGTTGAAGTTGTTGAATCCTCCAGCATTGCCCTGCCTAACAAACTGGACAGCCTCCATTTTGGATGGACAGTTATCCAAATTGTGAGATCCATCACATAACACACACACTTCAGCCTTGGATTTGGACAGCTCACTCCTCAGTTTTGTCATCTCATTTATCATCACAGCCATCTGTGCTTGCAGGTGTGTACTGGGGTCAAGTTCCATCACTCCTGGTTGCTTTGTACTTGCTCTTGGATCAGATTGCCACCTTGAATGATTGGTGGTCATATTATCAAGCAACTACCATGCTGCATCAATCGGCTTCATCATGAACACACCACCAGCTGCAGCATCAAGGGAGTCTCTTGTGGCTGGTAGCAAACCATTGTAGAAGATGCTCAGTTGGAGGTGCTCTTCCAAACCATGCTGAGGGCATTTTCTGATCATTTCCTTCAATCTTTCCCATGCTTCATAGAGTGTTTCTGTTCCATGCTTCTTGAAGTTCATTATTGCAGTTCTGAGTTGTGCAGCCTTTGCAGGTGGAAAAAACTTTGTAAGGAAGCCTTGTTTTAACTCTTCCCAAGTGGAGATAGAATTGTTGGGCAATATGTTGAACCATGCTTGGGCGTGATCCTGCAAAGTAAAAGGAAATAACCTCAATCTAATGTCATCATTGGATAAGTCTTGAATCTTAAAAGTACTGCATAAACCCATGAAACTTCTAATATGATCATTAGGATCTTCATGAGGTAATCCATGGAATGGGCAGGCTGACTGAGTCCATTGGATCATCTGTGGTTTTAACTCAAAATTGGTTGCCTCCACATCAGGGAATACTAATGGGGATTGGACTTCTTCTTGTTGTGGAATAAAGAAATCTCTGAGCAATCTCTCAGGTTGATACTGTCGATCACCACCAGGGTTCCTATTGTTCTCTGGGTTACTACCCTGGTTAGCCATTTCTGATGAACCTTCTTGGCGGTTCTGCTGCAACCCATCTTGCTTTCTTTTTGTTGCTCTGGCTCTGCGTATAGTAGCTTCAATTTCTGGATCAAAAACTGGTTCACTTCGTTGGTGTCTTCTAGTCATACACCAAAGAAAAGAAATTAGAAGCTCAGTGGAATACCCAGAGAAGGATTATTCACAAATAATTAAAAAAAAACAAATTTTTGGAGGTTTTACGCCGTCCCCAGCAACGGTGCCACTTTCTGATGTGTGCCGAGTTCATCAAAAATATATGTACTAGCTGGATTATAATTTTTTGTAGATAATGAAAGCTAGGTCGATCCCACGAGGACAGCTAAATCACCTCATTTGTTGTTAACAGACTACCAGTTCAGACAAGGTGTCACTCAGGGGAATGAAAACGTTCACTCAGGAGAGTACAGACCAGGGTTGTTCATCTCCTCTTCCTGTTGCAACAGTTGTGTAATTTGCACTTTAATGATTAAGTTCTTGTCCATTCAGCTCAGATGTAACTCTAAGTCAGTTCCCATTTTTCCTCGAGTCATCTTTGTAACTTTAACAATCTATTTTCCAATGATTGAGTCCAGTTATAAAGTCATTAAGATCTCGGGCTTACATGAATGCTCATGTCAACTAATTATATTCCTATCTTAGTTGAAACTATAGATTATTACCTCTATGTCATAAGTTGAAGTTGAAACAATCCAAACCAAGTATATCTTCCAGATTTCCCCTAGTTCTAGCATGCATTCAATAAGTGATCAAGTAACTGAATGTAGAAACACTTCCAAGCTCAAAACATAGAACAAAACCAGTGCATTACAACAACTACAATATAGGTTGAGGAGATTAACCCCTGGAAGCTATTTAGCTACTCATACTGGTTGATGCAACTGCTGCTACTTCAAAAGACATCATAGAAGTATGCATCAATGAATGAAGTACAAGCTACAGTTAAGAGAAGAAGGCAGCTTCAATTCAAAGGGTCACTCCTGGGAGTGGCAGAGTTCACTCAGGGGAGTGAACCAGTAACTGGGATGACTGTTCTTTAACTCTGCCTCTTGTTGAGTTGTTTTTGTTCTTCCTTGATATTGCCTTCCTTCTGGAGTTTCTCTGTGTGTTTTAGTCGACTGAGAGAAGCAGAGATAGATCCTTCCTTTGCTGGAAATGCAGCTCCCCTTTTTATAGAACCTTGTTGCCGGTTCCTCTCCCTAGAGAGCTATTCCATGCTTGTGTAATTTTTTATTTTCCCAATGCTTTGTGTCTTGAACCCCAAATTGACTGGTCTCTTGCCCATTCTTCCAATAATGGTATTAGCAGCAGCATTGCTCAATGTGCATGGCTAGTTCTCCATCAAGGGGACAAGCATGCTCTTTAGTTTCTATTGTGGGATACCTTTATCAACCCCCAATGTGTCCTGTGTCTTGGGTTGCTTTTTGACCAATTCAGCCCATGCTCCTCAATTCTGAAATCAGCAGCCCAATTATTACTCCATAAGCCCCCAATTTTCATCACTTATTCACTTAGGTCCATCCCTTCACAAAAACATAAAACTTACTAAGTAATGTGAACTAATTTTAAGAAGCACCCCTGAATTTTCAACTAATTAGAGAGTAAATTGCATTGCTTTTATATAACAATTTGACCGTTATCAAAGATACTATCACATCATGGTATGGTGATGCAAATCAAAGTGGTGGATCTAAGTGTACTTTCTCCTTTTTAAGCTGAGGCAATGACTTGTCTTGTGGCCTTGAAAGAGGCGTTACATTTAGGGATCACTCGACTTCAAGTTCATACGGACTGTGAATCTTTGACTGGAGATTTTCGGTCTGCTTTAATACCTTCTGAGGCCCAAGAGGTGGTTTCTTTGTTAGTTACTTGTATTTCTTTATTTCAGTCTTGCTGACTGATTAAAGTGAGTAGGACAGATGTCGTAGAACTATATTATTTAACATTTCATAGAATACGTTGTAATAGTTTAGGTATTTCTAAACTATAATATATGTACCTTTTCAAAAAAAAAAAAAACAATACAACTAATACACGCCCAACTTTTCAAGGTAGACGCTTAATCCACTCGTACTTCTCCTCAGTCCTTAATGCCAAGAAAATCAATGCCTTATGCTTTTGCTTGTTAAGTTCAGTAACTGCTTTCCGAAAACCGTATTGTGAAAGGTCCATGGTGTAAAGAGCCTCGATAGCCGCTCTAGCAGGCTTGACCTTGGTGCTCATCCTATCCTGCTTCTCTTTTTGGACGTCATGATATAGCCACAATGCACTTTGAAAAATTGGTTCATCTCCCTTACTCTTAGTACCACAAGAATCCACTCCTGAAGGTCCACCTTCAACAGGCCTCTTTCCACGAGACCTTTGTATTCCGGGACTGTCATCCGTAGTAGTGTCTGCGACATAGTCACCTGGGGGTGTGCCCCCCAAGCAATATGGTTGTAGTTTGAGACTTGAAGAGTTCAGTCAATGCATCAAAGTGTGGCAGTGGCTTGTCCCTGAATTTAATTATGCCAGATATTTTCTGCGACAAACAGTTGGATATGGTTTACTTCTATAACTGAAAAATACAAACATTCACATTGCCCACTTTTGCATAATGCGACAAAAACATGATTTAATATAGGGTATATAGCCTTGCAACAGGGAGACGAAAAACAACGTGTCCATATTTCATTCAACAAAATGTGAACCCCACCCTAGAAAACCAGCAAAAGTTCGGAGAAATTTCATGGTAAAACCCAAGAAGCATTATCAACTTTATTCTAATTCAACGATGATAACAGTTATATTAAGGCTATATATAAAAGTGTTTCACAACACAGATAGAGGAAAAGCAACGGTCCTACTCTTATTTAATTCGAATAAGAGGAATAGCCAATCTGAAATCAGGGAACAAAGAAAATTGCAACACCGTACAGATGAAAAAAAAAAGAAGGAAGGATAAACGAAAAACGCAAAATAAGAGATAAATTTAGGATTAGGTACAGAAGAATAAAAAAACAGACATATGCCCAATGTTGAACATCAACAACCCCAATAAGGGATGCATACGAACTTCTACGAAATAGAAACAAATGCGCAAATTGCACTTACACTATTCAATGCTGCCCAATCTAGGTACACAAAAGCTTGCATTTCATCATTCCACCCAACACCAGTTTGCATTTTAATTTTATCACAAATTTTCCAATCACGCTTCAGTCTCTTCACTTTGGATTTAATTTTTTCAAAACCAATATCAACACCCACGGCAGATTTAAGCTCATTTGCAATTTGGGTCCACCTAGAAGGCTTAAAGTTGGTAGTGGCTTTATTACATTCTCTTTTTATGGCAAGCAGTATATCGACTAATGCGGTCTCCCAAGCAAGTGTCCACATAACCTTGCCCGAACCCTTTTCGGTATCATCATTGTGGTCATCCATTGTTGGCTTCCTTGGGGACTACACAGTTAGAGGAAAGAAGAAATGAGGACTCATATCTATAGCAAACAAGAACTTTCGCAAAAAATATGATAACAGCGACGAACAATTACCTCTTCACTGTTGCGAATACAAACGTTAAGGTCATTCTCGTCTGACTCAGAGTGAAAAGATTTTGAAAGCGTTAGTATATCTAAGAAAGTAATTGAACGAAATTTCATATCCAAACAGACATATACACTATGACTGTTGTAACTCATTTTTATCCCGCTATTGACTTAACAAATTATGTTGCAAATATAAACATGTATCACACATTAATGAAACATACTTCTACCTGCGGTGTGCTTAGATTTTGAGTTTATTGGAATCTCTACAATAACATTTCCAAACACAGTAAAAGAATAAAGTTAGCTAAATCCCTTTTTTTCCTTTAATGTTTTGGAAATTTAAAAACATGTAAGAGGGTAGTAAAATAACATACCGCTGCATGGTGAGTGGATAGATTTTATCAGTGTTGGAGTATCTGCAACATCATTTCAGGCACAATTTTATATCGACTCGGACAGGTAAAATACATGTATCCAATGTAAAGGAAACATGCCAAACAAAGAGTACAGATTATGAGGGTGTTCATATATGTAAGGAAGCATTTCAAAAACGAATAATGCAGATCCAAAAAAGACAGACATTACTATAAACAATGTAATTGCCTTTTATCGCGTCATTGACTTCTAAATTTCTATTGCGAAGAAAAACATGTATGCACACATAAAGGAAACACACCTCTGCCTATGGAGTGCCCCATACTTTGAGTTTGTTGGAATCTCTATAATAGAATTTCCAAACAAAATGTCAGAAATAAAATCCCTTTTTTGTCTTTAATGTTATGTAAATTTAAGTACATGTCTATCTAGTAAAAAAAAAACATACCGCTGCCTTGGGGGGTCGAGTAAGTTTATCGGTGTTGGAGTATCTGCAACATCATTTCCAAGACAATTTCAGATCGAATCATACAGTAAGATTCTGAATGAATGTTTTAAAATACATTTAGCAAATGTAATGGAAAAACATTGTAACTCCTGTTATCCCGTTATTGACTTCACAATTTCTGATGCGAAGATAAACATGTATGACACAAACTAGGAAACGTACCTCTCCCTGAGGAATCCTTAGAATTTGAGTATGTTCGAATCTCTACAATAGCATTTCCATACACAATGTCAGAACATAAGTAGAGCCCATGTTTTCTATAATGTCAAAGGACAACTAGTTTTCTGGCAAAATATAAATACATGGATTGGTGGTAAAATTTAATGCCATGGGAGTGATCAGATTTTGTCGGTGTTGGAGTATCTGCAATGTCATTTCAAATTAAATTTCAAATGGAATCATACATTAAATTCTGACCGAAACTTTATAATGCATGTATCCAATTAAAGGAAACATGCCTATACTCTCCGAATTCTTGTTAGCCTCAGACATAACCACAATCCTACAATACAACGGGATTTACAAGTGACAATGTATATCAAAATGCGAGATTCAAACTACAGCATAAAATCGAAAATTGACAAGATCCATAGAAGATCGTACAAATCTGCTTGAAACAAACAAACAAACAAACACACTAACCTCTCAAAAAATTGTTTTAATCTAACTGTGAATGTTACATCCCCAAAGCCAAAGCAGAAAGCAAGTATAGACAAGGCAAATCCGACCCAATTGGCGATATGGTCGGAAATGACACCACCCACGACTCTGGATTCCTTTGATGTACACAAAAAACAATGATCAAGGAAAGTTTAAGGCACCAAACTCTACAAGTATCTCTACCACTACAAAACCTGGGGTATGTACATAAGGAATGTAACCCATGCTTAATCCATACCCCGATAAATATAGTAATGAAACCCCTGCATTTGAGCTTACACACAAGTAATAAATACAGACATAAAGATGCCCATTGGTACTTACTCGAAATGGCCAAAAATGTTCCGGTGTGACAACCACGACCTCGTGGTCCTCTGAATCGAGTTTTCTGAAAGTCAATGTGGGTGGAAATGGACCTTCATTATGTCTCCAGTGTTATAGATAACCGATTAAAACACCAGATCTGAGTAGAAGTGTGGCGGGTTGTGGAACTTGAACAGAGAAGATAAAGCACGACCAACAATAAAATCACATATCTGAGGTGTAAGTATAAGGGGCATGGAAATTGTAAGAATGGGATAGGGTTTCTTTAATAGTGGAGTCATGTTTTTTTATTTTAGGGGAAGATATAGAACTTGGGCTAAAAGGTGGAATGAAATGTGGTTCAGGATGGGAAACAAAATTTGGTAGGAGTTATTTTAGATGGCATTTTAATTTGAAAAGTGGGCAAACATAATTGGGCCTTGTTTTTTGAACATGAGATACAAAATGAAATATTTTTGCAATAAAACTGCTGCCCAAACAAAGCCTAAGTCTTTCATAAATTGTTCTAAAAATATATAAGGTTTGAAGTTATTTTGTCTATTTTTATGATAATAAATTGTCCTTTATTATTAATGATATAATGAATATTTGATCTCCCTTCCATTATTTTCATTTCTAAGATTATAAGAAAACTCATTCTCATTATTAGGAGAATTTGACCAGTCTTAGAAAAGGTTTTGGTCATTTCAACTATTAATTTTATTTTTAAGATTACAACAAAATTATTTCTCATTATTAAGTAAATTTGATTTGTCTAAAAACGGTTTCGGTGATTCTAATATTTTAGTGATTCTTTGAACTTATTAGTTTCGTCCACAAAAGTTTAGATAGTTCGGTAACACAAAAAAAAATTAAAATCATATAATCTAATTTACCTATATATAATCGTAAAGGGTGTAAGATTTGTCACTTGTTTTTTTTTTTCTTTCTTCCAAATCTTTACTTTTACCTCTCAATCTCAAGTCTATTGAAGGTAATCATCTTTTATTGGGAAGTTCATCTCTGTCTTTTTCTTCTCAAATTTTTAGTTTTTGTTTTTATATTTTTTCCTTTTTCTTAGTTTTTAATGCAGAATCTTGATTTTAATTTATTTTTCGTTGTCCATGCCCCCTCCCCCTTTTATTTTTGCAATCAAAATACTATGTGTCACCTTTGTTAAAATCAAAAGTGACATATTTTCGTGACGTCATTTTGTTCTTATAATGTAAGGTTTGACTACTGATAAATTTGTTAATATATTTTGTTGATACTATATTGGACAACAACGTGAATTATAATTTTTAATTATTAAAATTTCAGTTTTTTCTTTCACATAATTTACTTTACATAATTATACATAATGTATGCACGATGCGCGTTTAATCCATCTAGTTATTGTAAAAAAAATAAATGAGTCCTACTAATTTTTATTTTTTTTTTGCACATTCTATTGAAATGATAATTCTTTAATTTGAGAAAGGAATTGTATGCGAGAACCTTTTTCTATAATAACATGATTTTTATAGTTCGTGATTGCACCGTTCTTCTCCTCATCTACTAAGAATTAAAGATTTAAAATTAAAAGATCAAAGAAGGTAAGGAATTATATACTTAAAGATCATCTTTGTTTCTATTTACTTCAGCATCAATTCCCTCCTTTATCTTGTATAGTTATTACTTATTGACAGTGAGATCAACTCAACAGTTCGAGTCACGAATAAGAGCATATTCCTCTGCATTTTTCTCTCGTAAAAGAAGTTTTGCAATGCAGTTGTGCCCAAGATTGTAAAACCACACTCCATTTTTTGGTATCCAAGACTACCTTCTGAAATTTTGGTGACAATAATATATAGGAGTATAATATTGGGCTAGCTGCCAAGTATCCACAAAAAAAGAAGGTATGATTCAATTATCATGGAAATGTATGAAGGTAAGATATTTTCCTTTCATAGTGTAATTCATGGAATTGTGACGAATATTGCTAACATGAATTAGGAGCTAAATCACAAGTAGCGAAAGAATTGGAGAATATCTTTCATACGAAAATATTGGAGCCTTGAAACGAAGAAGATAACTCCTTTATGCTGGATACCACCAGACCCGGAAGAAGTAATCTTGAATACAAATGGCTTAGCATTAGGTCAACTTGGGAAAGCTGGCTGGGTCTGTGTGATTCGTGTTGAAGAAGGAATATTCATTGGAGCTGAATTCATAATCTTGGAGAAAGTTCTAGTTTTGTAGCTGAGATTGAAGGTATCCTTAATGGCCTTAAAGCTTGTAAAGATCATGGACTAAAAAAGATTATAGTGCAAAGAGATAACATGTGTAGTCCAATTGCTGAAGGGAAAGAAGAACGTACCTTGTAGACATCATACAACACAAGGGTCTATCCGAAATATGCTAACTCAAATGGAATCCAAAATAGTGCATATCGAGAAATCAATGGTGATGCTAATAGACTATCAAAAATAGGATCATCTGCGATATCAACGCAGAATAATCATCTCAATACTATGCCAACCTCAATAAAAGGTACTCTACTTTTGGATCAAATTTACTTTTTGTACCTTCGAGTACGATAGGTAATAGGGATATATATAGGTTTCCATTATAATACTGTACGTAGAAGAGTTATTAGAACTGGCCATGAATTATATGAGTAGGGTTAGCCCGTTTTAAAGCTGTGTGGTTGGCATGTTAAGGGCATTGATCCCAGTTTGCTCATATTAATTTTATATTAACGGATCTGATTTCTCTGTAAATTTCCTTCATCGTTTCCATCTTTCTCTATTATTATTCCTCATTCTGTCCTTAGTGTACTTTCGAGTACGATAGGTAATAGGGATAAATACAGGTTTCCGTTATAATACTATATATAGAATTTATTTATGTATTTCTTTAGTATTGCTTGAAATGAAAAGACTGTTATTATGCTAAATCTTTATAAGACAGTTTCTTAGTTGTAATTTGCATCAAAAATCATTAGGAGATTTTAGAAAATCTTTGCAATACGATTTTTTTATTTTAGGATAAATCTTAACCACTGCCTTATATATTTTTTTTGTTAAATTAACAAAATCGTGGTTTTCCCATAAAGTATTACCACATACCCCCTGATGGGTTAAACATTACAATAACTAATTCATTTTCTTTTCTTTTTTTTGGCTTTTTTTTGACCATTAAAAATGAGGATTACTTAATTTTTAGTCTTCACGTTTTATTATAACATAAGTTAATAAATAAAAATTAATCAATGATTAACAAGATAAGTTTATTATACTAAAAAACTTAATTAATGAAAATTATTTTATTTCAAAAAACATGATATAGTTAATTTCAAAAAAAATATTATTTAAATGCATCATAAAAAGAATTTATAAGGAGTATATTTGTTAACTTAATTTATGATATATTTTTAAAAATATTTAAATTTTATAATTTAAAAAATATCGATAGAAGGGTATTTTTGACCGCTTATTCGAAAATAATGATGATGTTAGCATCTTAAGAGGAGATTTGGTAAGTTGACTATGAGTTTAGGGGGGTATATGGTAGTATTACAAAAATTTAGAGGGTTTATGGTATATTGGACCAAAACTGTAGTTAAATATATATATATATATAGAGAGAGAGAGAGAGAGAGCGACTACGGTCCAGTCAACTGAATGGTTCAGTCTACTTTGACAGCCGTTGGATAATTAGGATTAATAGCAACCATTAGATGAAAATGAGGTGTTTTGAAATCAAAATACACCCACCACACCGAATAATTACAATGTATTCTTCAGAATATAAACTAATAGTATAATCTACTCTCAGTGTCAACTAGATTAATCCTGATTTCTCTGAAGATCAATACACAAAATTAAGTATTTTGTGGACTGTTAATAGTCTTTCTGGTTGTTTCATAGCCACATGGAAGATCTATGCACACAAGGTTTCGAATATGCATGGCTGCATATACGTATATAGCTTTTAGAGGCAGTTGAATATTGATCAGGATTCAGAATCTTGAATTCAAGAACTTGGTATAGTACCGTCATTACCTAGCATCAACACTATTTCGTAGTATTCAAACATTAGTTTTTGTCCCTCAATAACATTGCTAACAGGCATATAAAATCAACGTTAGAATAGAGAAAACCTCAAAAGCACAGAGATAAAGCAGAAAGCTACGCCACGGACTACAAGATGTCCAGTTATCTTTTTGTTGCAAACATCAATTATTTTCTAGTTCTCGTGGTAGATTTTTTGGTGTTACCCCGAATAGATTAAAACCCGATATATATCTTATCTTTGTATTAGCATATGCTCACAATGAACATTGCAAATATATGGTTACTATCTTATCTTCACCTCTGATGTTTATACATATGATATGGGGTGAAGTCCTAATTAAACTGATGAAATTTCAAGTTGTTTGGAACTTCATCTCAACTGTTTGGTTGGAACAACAATTCTGCTGCTACCTCCTCTGATCAAATCTGCCAAAGTACTCACATTTCATAATTTTTTTTTCCGAATGCAAGGAAGAATTTATAACTGTAAAATTAAAAGATGCTCTAAAAACTAAATCTTTGTTCTATAGGGAAAATTGTATAAATATTCCATCCTTGTACTAGACATCCTCTTATTTTACGTGTGGCCATGGCATTTAGATATGATAATTGGATCAATTGTAGTCGAATTGTCTCTAGCATTTCTGGAGTAATGGTCAAAACTCCTGCTCCCAGCATCAAGTATAGTAGTTTACTCAGATTAATGAATGAATTCACCTACTTTTCATATTTAATCTGACATTAGACCTAGGCAATGTTCTGTACATTAGTTGTATTATACTGTTATCAAAAGATTGAAGAGATTAGTTTCAAATCTGAAATAGTCAGACAATTATCTTTTAATAAAGTTAATTTACTCTTATTAAGTAAATAATTAATTTGGTTTTGTTATGGTGTTACACATCCCATAATTACTTTTGATGTGCCCTACTTTTATTGGATAGATTTTAACTGGATAGTTCAGTAAAAAACTTATGACTGGACCATAGAATTTCCCATATATATATATATATATATATATATATATATATATTCTTACAAAATAGCAATCCTTAATTAAAAAGCATCCTTAGCTATTGAGTTTTTTAATATAATATAATAATCATCAATAATAAGCTTAATGAATAAAATCATAATTACGCCCTTGAGAGGAAATTTAAATATTTTATTTATATCCTCTTTAGGAAATTTAAAACCTATAGCACCTTTAATAAGAAATTTTCCTTTTAAATAATTATTTCCAAAATAAATTGCAAAGAAATTTTAAAAGAAAAAACAAATAAAAAAAAATTGCAAAGAAGTGCGATCGGCCTTTTATGCTTTTGAAAAAAAAAAAAAAAATGTCCATGCGAGTTTAACCCAGCTTCCAAGTCGCGAGTAAAAGTTGTAACGGTTCCCCCCTCGGCGCCAAACCAGAAACCAATATTCCCACCTCCCTATCATTTTCCGACATCTTTCTCCTCACCGAATGTAAAATAAATTCAACTCTATCTACTGAAAAAAAAAAACATAAAATCCCAGATTTTAGTAATCCATAAAACCCCTTCAGAATCCCAATTATGGGAGTGGATTACTACAACATTCTGAAAGTTAATCGGAATGCAACCGACGAGGATTTGAAGAAAGCCTACCGGCGGTTGGCAATGATATGGCACCCCGATAAGAATTTAACCAGCAACAAGCAAGAAGCGGAGGCGAAATTCAAGCAGATTTCTGAAGCCTATGACGTTTTGAGCGACCCACAGAAGCGGCAGATCTATGATCTTTACGGCGAGGAGGCGCTGAAATCCGGACAAGTTCCACCGCCTCCGCGCGGCGGTGGCCCTTATGTTAATCGGACCCACCAGCAGCATCCAGACCCTTTTCATAGGTTTAATCCCAGAGACGCCCACGACATATACCGTGAGATGTTTGGGAAAGAGAGTAATGTTGGCGGTCCCGGCGGGACCAGTGATAGGAGGGATTCTGATAGAAATGGATTCTTTTTTAGGAGTACTACTATGGGTGGAAGTGGGAGTGGAGCTGGAAGTCAGTTTCCGGGCGCCGGAACCAGTAGTGGGTTGAGGAAGGCAGCTCCGGTGGAGAGAGTTCTTATGTGTAGTTTGGAGGATTTGTATAAGGGGGCAAAGAAGAAGATGAGGATTTCGCGGACGATACTGGATGCGGCAGGGTAAGTAGTGCATTGTTGAATTTTTTGAAGTTTCTGTATGTCTGTGCTTGTTATTTAGTTGTTTGTATCATGGATTAGAAATTGCAGGGGTAGACTTTCTTTGTTGTCTTATGTGATATGATCTCCTTTTACTGTTTTATTGAATGATTGGTACATTTGGTTTGTTACTTCTTGTCCTAGTGAAATGTGGGGTTTATGGTTTCTGATGATAGAAGTGGGATTTTGTGTTCCAATTTTAGGCCATGATTTTCTTGATCTATGTGTAAGGTTCCTGGTGTGGAGTTATATGTGAATTTCAGCCGTTATATGAACTTTAGACAAAGTGGCTCCTGTACAAGGCTCAGTAGATTTCCATTTTGAGTAGGTTAGTAAAAGATGGCCAGTGTTGAAGCAGAAAGTTATGTCAGGGGACAAGTCATCTTCAAGAATCCCTGAATGAGTTCTCTGACATTTGTCTTTACCCTTTCATGCATGGTATTTTTCCCCTTGGAAAGCTAGTTTCTTTAACTGGTTCTAAGTCTGCTTTCGTATGTGTTTAGGTCTGACATAATGTAAGAAATTTGTGTTACTAAATAGTTGTTCTTGAAAGATGGCAGCTTGACACGGGAGTTAAGGATATGTTTCTGTGTTACCTTCTTTCTTGGATAAGGGCGAAGTGTTAAAGTATCAACATATCAATCTTAACAATTTAAAGCTCTTGAAAGCTCATTAAATGGTTTTTTTCAACCTTTAAGACTAAGAAACTTCAGGGAACCCTAGTAGAATCTCTTTGCAATTGTTTGTTCAATAAATGTTATGCTCTTTTTCTTCTTATCTTTTTCTCTCTCTGTGCCGTTGGAAGAGTTCTGACATGCCATTATGTAAAATCATTAGGTTTTTTTTGAAAATGGTAAAATCATTAGTTACTTGGAAAGAAAGGTATCATCATTCCTACTCTTTTCCATTTTAAACTCTAAGCTTGCTCAAAATGTTTCTGCTTTGAGGATTCTTAGTCAATACTATTAGATGGTCTGAAATCTTGCCTAAAGAATGAACCTTGCTAAGGTATTGTGTTGATCTATGTACAAAATACCCTTGATCTTCCATGCCATTGCTTAATCATTGAAGAATGTGGCATTATGAGATTTCAATTCAATTTGATTTTCCATGGAACTCAACGTGATGCACATTCCTTAACAGCAGTAGTAGTAGTTAGCTTTTCTTTCTTTAGGACTCTTTTCTTCCTTTCCTGTTTCTCTCAGCAGTTAGTTCCCTTTCCTTTTTCCTTTTTCATATTGTTTTACATGTTAAGTTAGCTTTGATGATGCCAGTTATAACCAATCATTTTGGTAGTAAATGTCCATAGTTTGAGTATAAATCTACAAAATTTGTTTCATGCAACATCTCTTGTGTGGAAGGTTTAAACACTTTAGGTTTAATGTCTAGCTTTGACTATATATTCTCACAATTAAGTTCTCTAATGGAAAGACGCTATGACAGAGAAACCATGTTAACGAGCTTTGATATTTAAATGTTCTCGTAATAATTAAATATTTCAGTCCACCCTAATCATCATTGATTGTATTTCAACATCTTTTTAGCCTGAAATCTGGACTGACGGAATTCTCCTTCTGTTGCTCTGAGAGGTATAGCCAGCGGGACGTGTTTTGGTCTTTCTGCACTTAGAAAAAAGTGGACGGAAATGCATAATTGATACAGAGCAGTGAACTTAAGTGTTCGTTAGGAGCAAATGTCTGTAATAATGATGGTGGTATTCATGGTTTCAAATACGGTCTTTACAACGAAAAAGGATAAAAAGTTATTAATGTGCTCTGAGAAGAACTAAAGTACTTAACACGCCTTACCTAGTTGAAAACTGCTTCCTAAACTGAACCCTGAACTGGTGGCTATTGTGATATGAATGCTGTCGTAGTTCTTGTATTCATGTTTCTATTAGGTTCCATCATCCAACTCATGTTTTTGCCTTTTCGACTTCCATTGTGCTTCTTATTTCAACAAAAAATAAACATCTATCTTCAATATCTGGCTCATTTCTGTAATTACTAACTGAAGCAGGCATGTTTACTTCTTTTCCTTGTCAGTGGCTAGCTACCATACATCCAGACTAATCACTGTTTTTTTGTTTAAGAAAAAGTTTCTGATAATGGTGGTTGCTGATGTGTATGTCATAACAATAGTTGTCTCTGTTGTTATATCATTCAATAATTTTGATGTGGTGAAGGTGTGTAGAAAATATAGATTTTTGCATTGATCCTTGATCAATTTAGAAGGTTTTCTGCCTTCTATCATGCTTTAGATTCAATTGGACTGTACAATGTTAGGATATTTTCTGCGTCGTTAGGGTATGACATCAGGTCTATATAAAGAAATACTGGAAAGTGGCATCTCAATGGCCATATTTAAATTTTGGGTATTATATTTGAATTTATCCTATCTTAAAGAGCTTCGAGTGGGCGAGGAGTTGCAAATTTCACAATTGACAATATGGGCTTTACTCCAAGTGTTCGATGCTTCATTCCTCCTTTTCTGTGAATTATGGTGGTAATTTTATGATAATCTGACATTAGATAGACATTCTCAAGATGGGCTATTTTTAGCTTGATGGATTTTCTTAAATAGGCTAGACCAGTGTGCGTGCAGAATGCACTCAGAAACAAATAAATGGTTGCATGTCTTTTGCATGGATGTACTCGTCTCAGCTAATTAGTGGCATTTATTTTATAGTTTCTAGGAAGCTGAAAGTTAAAAGTATTTCTTGTGATAGATGTGGATAATGATGGTTCTTTAAATCAGCCTAATTTAAATCACTCTTCCTTCCAGTGTTCGCATTAGTGGCTAGCTGATGGATTTTTTAAGTATATTTAGTTTTGGTCTTAAAACTTTTTAGCCAAACAAAACACGTTCGTTATTACTGTTTATGTTCTCTTTCCCTCTAAGTCATTTATGATGTTCGAAAATTAGTTGTTTACAGTGCAAAAAGAGTCTTTTATATTAACCATAGAAAGAATGCAGGGATATTCTTATGGTATGCCCTACCGTCTTTATATTTATTTAGGTTCATAAATCTTTAATGGACTGATGGAAAGAGAAATTGTGGCGCAGAGGTTTCTAAAAGCTTAAGTAGAGAGGCAGTAAAGCTAGTCTTATGCAAAAAATTTTCTAGGGACATGGTTAGGTCAACCTGCCACCCAATATGGCGTCCCTAATATAATTCATTCTTTCCTGAAATACCGAGCAGGTTCCCCTATATAACTCATTCTTCCCCTGTCAGCTTCACTTGCCAAGTTAATTTTGCTACTACCTGTGCACCATGTAGCCCTCTGCACCTATCACTATCATCTCTTAGTTCACTTGAACTCAATTAGCTATCCCCCTCCTAGTTATGGCCTTTTTTCTTGATACTTTTCTCAACTAAGTGATAATCTAGATATCCTCCAATTCTCCCCATAACAACAAAGTGATGCCTTGTATTTTGTTTTGCAGTGACTTGACTGCTTTTCATCCCCCTCCCCCAACCCCCAATGTTCCTGTACTCGATTTACAAATTTCAATTAAAAGCTCATCAGATTTATGCTTTCGAAATGTTTGGTTTTTATATTTTGACAGAAATCTTGAATATTTGTATAGTTTATGAGCTGGAAGTTGAATTTGAAGCAAGTGCAGTGATCATAGATTCAGTCCATATATTGATAGAGTTTTTATTGATAAATATTCATAGAAAATTTATTCCTCCTCGCTTGCGTGGAATTATACAGCATGGTTTTATATTGTAATTCTTTCACTCTTCATTTTGTGCCAATTAAGAAGATTGACAATGACATGCTTGTCATGCAGTAAGTTGCGCAATGTGGAGGAGTTCTTGATCATTGATATATTGCCTGGATGGAAGAAGGGGACAAAAATTACGTTCCCTGAGAAGGGTAATGAAGAACCTGGTGTCATTCCGGCAGACCTTGTTTTTGTGGTTGATGAAAAACCTCATCCTGTTTTTACGAGGGATGGTAATGACCTAATTGTGAAACAGGAGATATCTCTTCTGGAGTCCCTTACTGGAAAGATTATCGAACTGACATCACTGGATGGTAGGAATCTCTCGATTCCGTTAACACAAATCGTGAAACCAGGACACGAGATGATTGTACCAAATGAAGGAATGCCAATTTCGAAAGACCCAACGAAAAAGGGACATCTGAATATTAAGATTGATGTTAGGTATCCATCAAGGCTTACTGAAGGACAAAAATCTGATCTGAGGAGAGTGTTGGGTTCAAGCTCATGACGTTCGGTGTGGACAGATTAATCTGGAAAGACATAATGTGGTAGATATGACAGTTTCTGATGTACATACAGTACAGACATGCGAAGAAAGGAATAGAAGGAGAAATTTTTTGCAGTGCAGACCAAGGCAATAGCTTTCGTATAGTAAACTAAACTTGCACCCAATTAGAAATCTTCAGATTAGACTTTCTTCATATTTGTAGCTCATATTGAGCTAGCTCCCTTGTTTGATGCAGAAAAACTAATCTGGTGTAGTAGTGTTGCATGGAAAACTCTTCTTAAACAGCAGTAGGAGAACCTTTTTTGAGATTTTGGATTACAAAGTGTTGTTGCTTTCGGGGTTTGTCTGCCTTCTTTAACAGTGTTTATGGATAGCATAACAACTGCTATATTTATCTTCTTTCTCATTTTCTTTTTTTAATACTCCCTCCGTCTCAAAAAAAAATAGTTCACTTTGAGTTATGAAATTCGTACTAAATTTCAAAACTCAAAGTGGACTATTTTTTTTGAGACGGCAGTACAAATTTGAAAACTCAATGTGAATTATTTTTTTTGGGACGGAGGCAGTACAAAAGATTCCTTGAAACTTAGAATTTACAAAACATGTCCCTATAGAAATGTGATAATCTAGCCTAATCGGCTTCTACTCTCTCTAATGTTAGCGAGAGGTGTTGACAAAATGACAACTTGATACGAAAATACAAATTTTGCAAATGCATTAACGCATTGTTTATTTATTTTATTTTTTTATTTTATTTTATTTTATTTATTTATTTATTTTTTGTCATTTGAAGGCTGCAAAAAATGCTCTGAGAATGTGCTGACTTTAAAAGTTGAATTGAGCTGGTGCAAAACAGCAAGTTGGAACTCGGAAGATAGTGGACTAAATTCTATTTTCCTCCATTTTCTATTTGAGATTGGTATAATTTTGTTAACTCTGTTGATTAGTGCTTGTGGTATGTCCTATGTGTATTAAGAGGAGCTCTATTCATATCAAATTTTGGTCTTGTTCGCCACAAGAAAGCTTCATATAATGCTCTTAAAATATTTGAGACGTGTTTAATTGTGAACCCTTTAAGGAGGAGTATTCAAGTGAGTGTAAAATATAAGTTACTCGATCTTACCTGCACGATGTACGGGGTAAGAATAAAATATTTTTATGAAAACATTTATAAAATTTTCCTAACAACTTGAAAGGAAATAAAACTAATAAAAAAGATGCATTAATTTTATTTTTTTTTTTGGATAAAAGTACCTGCTTTCATTATGTTAAAAGTCCTATACTATTATATTACATACGATAATAAGCAATATTGTGAACATCTGAAACTTTCGATCTACGAACTTTAATCAATTCGCAAAATTCAAAAGAGTTTATAAGCAAAATTAGAATAGGCACTACGACTTGAATCTCTAGCGGGATTTGTTGATCCCTAAGATTTGTAGTCAAAAATTTAGAATCTGTATGAATTCAAACCCAATTGATCCCCATCATAGAAGCCTGTTGAAGTGCCAAGAGGCACGTAGTCACTTCTGTCTATAATGGGGAGGTACCTTGGATGGACTTGGATCCAATTTGCAGTAAAGCATTGAAAGGAGAGACAATTTTCCATGCACCTGCGGCACATCCATTGGACTGATTAAACAAACCATCAATGGAAACTAATGAAGACTGTCTCGATGGGGGGATGATAAAGCTGGTAGAATTTTGTCATTGTGTCCTCTACTGGGCTCTGTGTATATTAAACTCCAATTGGATTATCCTCCACACATCCACTGGATCGGCAGTCTGTTGGCGCCAAACTTTGTATATTCCTTGCTACCCATATATTCCAAATTACAATAAGAAATTGATCAACATCCAGTTTGGAGGGAGAAGACTGTATCCATTGCACAAAGGTCTGAAAGAGGGATGAATGTCGATTATGAGATAAGGATATGAAGGACGGTGGTGCTAAATTCCAAATAGCCTGGGATTCAGGACGTAATAAAGTGATGGAGACTGTCTTGCTCTGCTGTGCCACATCTTGGACAGGTTGTAGTAATCGGAATCCCTCGTTTTTGTAATGTTTTGCCAGTTGCCAAAGCATTGTGTAGTGCTCTCCAAAATATAGTTTTCTGTTTTGGCTGAACTGAGGAGTTCTATAATTTTTTCCAAGCCAATATTTCAGAGGAGTTTTGTAGATGCTGAGTCTGTTTTTGGTTTTGTTTGTTCAGGGCCGCCTTATAGCCACTCTTGATTGAGTAGACTCCATATGGAGCATGTAACCAGAGCAGTCGATCATGAAGGTGTGCTTTGCCAGGGTCAATGGTGATACTGGTAATATGAGGCAAAAGGTGGTCCTGGAAAACATTACTGAGGAAGGAGATGTTCCATTGTCCATTAGACTGGATGAAATCCTTCACCTTAAAGCTAGTATGCGTAGCCAGGATGGAATCTCTTTGTATCGGGTTGATTTGGTGTGGTATCCAATCTTACGCAATACCTATATCTCTTCCTGATACAACTTGCCATTTGACATTGTGATTTAGAAGTTCTGCTCCTCATAAAATACTTTTGAATCCCCAGGAGGAATTGGTGGGAGTGTACTGTGGAGGAAAGATTCCATTGACACAATATTTTGCTTTGTAGATCCTGGAGAGGAGAGATTCTGGTGTAGACATAATCTTCCAGGCATGTTTTGCAAGGAGAGCCTGGTTGAATTCTTTAGTAGATTTAAGCCCCAGACGGCCATGGAATTGTGACTTTGTGATTTTTTTTTCCAAGCCCGCCAGTGAATTCCATGGTCCTGATTATCACCCTTCCATATGAAGCTTCCTATGATACTATCTGTTTTCTTTAAAGTGGTAGCTGGAAGTTTAAAAACTCCCATGGAGTACACCAACATGGAGGATAGTGTGGATTTGGCTAAAGTGATGCGTCTTGATATCGTCAAAAGTTTGGTTTTCCAATCTGCAAATTTAGCTGAGAGCTTGGCTGTGAATTGCTGAAAAATGAGTTTCTTCTTCTCCTGGAAGTCTAGACTCATTCCTAGATACCGTCTTTGGAACTGGCCCTATGGGATATTGAGTGTAGAGTGTAGGAAGTGGTTGGTGTCTTGTCTAGTATTAGGGCTTATGAGTATTGAGGATTTTTGTAGATTCACCTTCTGTCCAGAGAAGGTCGTATACATCTCAATTAAGCCTGCTAAAGCCTGAATTGTATCTTCTTTGCATTCCACAAAAAAAAACAAGCTATCATCAGCATACATAAAATGACTTAATCTAGTAGCTGACCTGTTGATTTTAATACCAAAGCCTGGAAAGGTGTTGATTTCTGAACGAATGGCAGATGAGAGAACCTGTTGACACAGAATGAAGAGATAGGGAGAAAGAGGACATCCTTGACGAAGTCCTTTGTTTGGTGAGAAATAAGGGACGCTATCTCCATTAAACTGAATTGAGTAAGACACTATTGACGCACATTGCATGATTAATGCAATTATGTTTCTGGGAAATTTTGCCTTGGTTAAAACCTTTTCTAAGAAGGGCCAAGAAACCCTGTCGTAGGCTTTACTCATGTCTAGTTCAACAGTAGCAAGACCTAGTTCTCCATCCTTTTTCATGATGTGTTCTACTACTTCATGGGCTAGCAAAATGTTTTCAGTGATGTTTCTACCAGGGACAAAACCATTCTGAAACTCATCTATGAGATCATTCATGAAAGGCTTGATTCTATTGGCTAGTATTTTGGCAACAATCTTATACTTGACATTGCAAAGGCTAATGGGCCTGAAGTCATTTAGAGAAGAAGGGTTTGAATTTTCGGGGATAAGGATCAGGTGAGTTTGGTTTCATTCCGGAGGGATGTGCTGGATGATTACAACATCTAAGATTGTTTTGGTTAGGTCCTTATCAATAATGTGCTTATATTTTTTTACAGAAACCTGCAGGAATACCATGTGGACCTGGAGATTTCCATGGTGCCATTTGTTGAATAGCTGCCCAAATTTCTTGTCTAGAGAAAGACTTACCCACAATTTCCATCTGTTCCTGAGAAAGAGTTTCAGTAACATTGTGGAAGAGAGTATCTAGGAATGGGGACCAGCCTCAGCCATTGGTGGATTAGGAGAGGTATAGATATCTGAGAAGTGATTTTGAAGGATGTTGGCAATGGCAGTTACATCCTGACTCCAATCACCATTTGCATTTTGAAGTTCTGTAATCCATTTGTTACCACTTTTCCTGGCTGCCCATGTTGGAAGTATTTTGTGTTTCTATCCCCCTGGCTTGACCAATTGAGTTTAGCTCTTTGGTGCCAGTAATCATACTGATGACTAAGGACTTTTTCCAGAGCTTTCCTTGCCTCTACAAGGGATTGAAAAGATTGATCATTGCACTTGTTTTGTTCCCATAATTTCTGTGCAGACAGAAGTTTTTCAGACAATTCCTTGACAATTTACCAATCTGACCAAATCTATCTTTACTCCACTTATGGATACTTGAAATACTTTTATCAAAGCTTGAAAGATAAGGATTTCTGAAGATCTTCAATTAAAAGATGAGATTAATTTCAGGATTGTTCTATAAGCTCAGTTGGTCTCTGACACTTGGTCCAAAACTATTCAAATCTAAGTTTTGGTTTTGTTTTCTTTATACCTTTGAGTTCCAAAATCATAGGGCCATGATTTGAGTGAAGAATAGGGAGATTCCTAAGTAAAGCTGATGGGAAGAATTCTAACCATTGAGGTGATACAAACGCTCTATCCAAGCGTTCAAAAATGGATTCTGAGTCTTGTCTTTTGTTAGACCATGTATACCAGCATCACAAGCGCTTTAATTCTTCCAAAGCATATTATTGTAAGAAATCTCTGATTGGTTGCATATTGTTGTCTGAGATTGGACATCCTCCATACTCATCTTCCTGATTCACTACTTGATTAAAGTCTCCTAATAAAACAAAATGATAATTCAAAGTGTTGATGGTGCTATTGAGATCAGACCAAAATAAGGCTCTGCCTTGTGAAGAAGACAAGCCATATACAAAAACAGAAACCCAAAGTAGACCAGTAGCCTCACTGGCTCAGTGATTCTGGCTACTATATAACTAGAGTTCTGGGCTATCATTGTTAACCTAACACCATCACACCAAAAGAGGGCAAGACCGCCGATCTGCCCTACTGCATCTGCTACCACAGATATTTTAAAAACAGTGGCCTTTTGCCAGGCATTAACAACATCCCTACTAGACTTAGTTTCCATAAGAAACATTAAAATAGGCTCATATTGATTACCTAACCTACTGATAACACTCTTAGTTAAGGCTTTGTTCATGCCTCTATAGTTCCATGAGAGAATCTTCATTGGGATGAAGGCGGTTGTTCTAGTTCAACCGCCGCAACACCATTCAGCTTGGTAGGTTTCTTGGTCAGTACTGGAAGCCTTGATTTCAGAACCTTGCATTGAGGGAAACTGTATGCCAATCCACTGTCATCATCTGACTGAACTTCTTGTTTTTCAGCACTCTTTCCTGTTTTTCTTCAGAGTCATCAGAATGACGCTTTCTATTCACTTTCTCTTCATCCTTACCAGTTTCATCTTCAGTGGAATCCAGGTCATCAAAACTATCTATCTTCATCCGCCAGCCTCCCTGGTGCTTGGGCTTGCCACTATTGTTAGTCTTTTTCATTGTTGAGTCCAGATGTAGGGTAGTAATCTCATCAGTTGACCTTGCTTTTCTAACTGGCATATAATAAGAAGAGACACTAGAGGAGGAATCTGACAACAACTCGGACAAATTTGACATCGGGGCAGCCTTGGAATTCTTCCTATGGGATCTTCTCTTTTCCACCCCTCTAGATTTGCCTTTCAGTGGTCCAACAGTGTGATTTGGAAACAGGCCATCATCAGAGAGGTCACTAGTATCAGCTGAGCCATAATACATGTCATCCCTTTGCCTCTGACCTGCCAGAAACTCATCTTCCAAAACAGGGGGGGCTAACATGATTTACAGGGGAATGAACAGTACTAGTAGCAGATTCAGGGAACTGATTAAAAACTACATTATCCAACACAGTATCAGGAGAATTAATCTCAGATTGGGGGAAATCGGGTACATTGGGAATAAAAATGGAAGTCATGATAAAGTTATCATCCATATCAACATCAAAATTATCAATCAAGTAGTCGGGGGGTGTCTCTGGAATTGCATAGAAGGAAGCATGGAGATTTGTACCAAAAGAAACTCGTTGAAGCAAACTTGGAGAATCAGCATGAAATTGTGAATGAGACAAATAGAAGCTACCTTCATCCTCAGAGGCCTGATGGAAGTGTTGATTGGTCTCCTCTGCAGGTGGGGCCGCCATTCGACCTGGGTCATGCTAGCCATTAGGATACATCTGCCTGAGGAATCTTCCAACATCAGGGAATCCATCACCATTAGCATTAGAGGGCCCTGCATCTCCTCCATTTCCATGATTGTGCTCACCTTGTTGTTCTCCATCATCATCAACAAAATCATCATTTGCATCATCATCATTACCATTCGGATTGAAGGGTGGCTGTTATGCATACACTCCAGGCTCCTCCAGTTCAGTAATGGTGAATCCATCTTGGATGTAGCTCTTAGGGACAGTGGCATAGTAGTCATGCATTTGCAAATACTTATAAGTGCGCATCTCGGTATAGCGCTTCTTCTTGTGGCCGTGTGCACGCATAGAAGCTGGGAACAGGGGCCGAGTTGCATCAATTAACAGTGGGGAGTTGTCTCTCATTGCCTTCTGGAAAGAGTAATCATCAAGGAAGGCTTCCAGCTTTGTGTTGGAGGACTTAAAACACCTTTGACAGGGATGGCCCAAGATACCGCAGCGCCGGCAAAACTTGTGCATATTTTCATATTTACAACTGATCTTACCAAGCTTACCATTCCGTTTAGTGATGTGGAAATAAGGGGTTAACGGGTCGCCCGGTTTGATCTAGACCTTTGCTCTGACATAGGTCGCTTTCCTGAGGGATACACAGTCTTCCTTTACTAATACGACTTCACTAACTCGCTTGGCAAGATCTCTGACACCACCATAGTTCAACAGTGAGATTGGCACCCCATGCATGCGAACCCGGAGGCTGAGTTTGTCGATTCGTATGCTATCAAGGGCCAGATCTTCATGGTCATAGCATCTACGCAGGATCACCAGACCGCCTTCAACAGCATATGGGCCATTATCCAGTATAGTAAGAAGACCTTCTATGCTGCGGAATTTGATGACAAAGAAATTTTGATCATCAAACTCCCTGTCATCCATGAGATAACCAAGCAGAGAAAGCTACAAATTTTGTCTGGACAGCCAAATATGCTCGTCCGTCACAGGCATGTTTGACGTACGCATATGTGAAGTGGAGATTAACTCAGGATGGACATCAATGCTAGGCTGATAGTCATAGCCTTCTTCACAAAACTCAGATCCATCAACAGACATGGATGTGATAGAGTTTTCACCCATTGCATGTCGATAACTCATAGTATATGAGTTAGATCTGATGTCAAATGAGTGGGAAAAGCATAGACACTAATATTTGCACTATTGGGTTGGAGTTTTGTGGCTAGATTTTGATAAATCTGGGTTTAAATGCATCTGAAGATGAAGTAAAGGAGAAGAAGACAAGGAGGCAGGGGAATGTCGAGATTCTCTGCAATATTTGCCTAGAGCCAAACGAGAAGATGGAAGTAAAGAGAGTAATTAAAACCAAGACTACTTTGTTTAGTGCACCGAAGATCTTGGAAGTTGAATAGGAAGTTGGAAGATTAAACAACTAGAAAACTAGAAAAGCCAACATACAAGGTAGGAAAAGGATAAAAAGGAGGCCAAAAGGATTCTAAAATTTGGCTAAAAATGATAAGAAGATCTCCTTTTCGATAAATTTAAAAGGCACAAATGGTCCATAAAAGGTTGGGTTCATAGGAAACTAAACCGTCTGCATGCTGGCCAAATATCATCCAGATTCAGACGAAATTTGCCAAATCTTGTATTTTGGAAAAATTGGATACAAAGTGCTATGATGATTGATGCACTTGGTGCAGGAATTAAGAAAACCATGTGCTAGTTTTTTGGTTTCAAGATAGTGGATATTAGGCCTTTCTCACTTGGAGAAAGAGAGAATTTTATCTCACTTAGGTTTTAGAGAGAGAATGAATGGCTTGGAACGTGATGCATTAAATTTTAAAAGCAACTAAAATTGGATTATTTACCTGTTCATCAATCAGCAAAGTTTTGAGGGATGAGTTTGCGCCAAAAGTTATAGTCCATACATTGAGGATTCGTACATTGAAATCGACCGTGTTGCTGTTACGGGAGGTCAACATAGATCGAGGTGGTTGAAGTTGTTTGTATCGATGAAGGTAATAAATGGGAGTTTTTTATGTTATGCATGCGGATTCCGGGATAAGGGAAAGCTATATAATGTGCACATAGAGTGATTTCCATTTAATGAATAAAACGTCATATATTAGACTCATTTATGGGATTTGATTATTAATGGACAATATTAGGAATTTTATGGATTAATTATTTACGAATTTCAAAAATATAATATAATGTGCGCTTACAGTGATTTCCCCTTTAATGATCGTATCGTCATCGTCATATATCAGCCTGAATCACGAGACTCACTTATTCATGGGATTAGATGATAATTACGGGCTGAAATAATCACTTATGAAATGCCATCAATTATTTTTGAATTTCAAGAATAAATTAGTATTAAATAGTGAACGAAGGCTTACATGGAGCTTTATTCCAGTCAATCAGTAATTTTTTTTTTTGAAATCATTGAGTTATGGGATTTGATGATTAATGGACGGTAAAGTAATTTTAAGGGATTTTCTACCGATAATTACAGGCTAAAATAATCACTTAAGAAATTTCATTAATTATTTTTGAATTTCAAAAATGCATTAGTATTAAATAGTGAACAAAGACTATACATTGGAGCTTTATTCCAGTCAATCGAATTCTTTTTTTCAAATTATCCAGCATTAACAATTTAATCAAATAAATTTTTACCTTTTTTTATGCACCAAATGGAAAGAAACTAATAATGTTGTTTTTTTAAAATATTTCGTTTTTTTTTTTGTTTGACTGAATTTAAAAGAGAAAGTTTAGCACCCAATTAATTGGTAGAATTTAATTGCGATTTGATGAAACATTATTCAACGAAAATAAGGACTATTAGTGTAATTATTTTAAATATTTTTTATGTCAACCTGTAAGAGAATGACATCTAGAATTTTATCCTACGTGTCAATGTAAGGAGAAGTTTGATTTTTTCTCTCTAATTTCTCCCTTTGTCTAATACTATAGATAGATACTATAAACATTATGTGTAACTTAAAGTAAGCACTTCTCCATTAATTCAACTATTTCTCGCCTAATTTTTTATTAAAAACTGATGCTAACACAATTGTTTATATGAAAGTGAAACTATTTACTACACATTTCTCGTCCATCTCCAGATGTTTTTCTTGGAGACCTCACAATTTTAATTAACCTACAAAAATAGAAAGTGAAGAAATATTCAGACTCCAAGTATTAATAATAAGAAGAAACCATCATAGACCCCAAAAATAATATGTATAAAATATTAGAAGAAACTCATCATAAAGCCAAAACTAATATGTACTCCCTCCGTCCCATAATTATTGTCCATTTTGATTTTTCAGTTTTAGTACAAATTGAACTAAAAATGAAAACTCAAAGTGGATAATAATTTTGAAACAAATGGAGTATAAGAGATAGTAAAGAACCAAAGAAAATCACGTTTAGGGGAGAGCACTACAACAAAAAGGGGATAATAGTACACATTTTTATGTACCAATGAGTAGGTTTATAGGATACATAGACAATAGGACACAATCAAAAAGTGTTCTCTATTCTCTAGTCACAATAGGTGTATAAGACACTTAAGGTCCTATTAAATCAACCCTTAATGATACACTTGATAAGTGTACTATAAATGTGCGGGACACTTGAGCAAATAAGACACTTGGAAATGTCTCAATAAGAGCAACTATTAGGACAATTTAAAGTATCCTAAAAAGTTTTATACTATAAGTACATTTTAAAGTGTTTCAATAAATCAACCCCTTAATATTAAGTGTATCATAAACATGTTGGACATTTGAGCAAATAAGACACTTGAAAATGTCCCAATAAGTACACTACTATTACGACACTTTAAAGTATCGCAAAAAGTATTATAATATTAGAACATTTTAAAGTGTTTCAATAGATATAGAGCTATTACGAAATTTTGGAGTGTCCATAATTTAAATAATAAATTTAAAACCATAATTTAAATTTGAGGCAAGAGAAAATGTAATTATTTTTATAATTAAAAAATTCATGACATAAAAATTGATTAAAAGTATCAATTCACAAATCTAATATGTCTTTCAGATTATACACTAATATGTATGATTACAAATAGAATACTATGCCTAGTTTCTAAGTCTTCCTGTAACACCGGCTCAATCATCAACATCCTTGTCCTTTACTTTTGTTTAAATCCCTTGTCCTTTGCTTTTCTCAGATCATAACACCGACTCAATCATCAACATCCTTTGGCATGACACAACTCAATCTTCAACATGCATCACCTGTACAAGTTCAAAGAAAAGTAATTAAATGAATGGTTCATCTAATAATCCCAAATTCAACAACTCATGCATAAGAATGGATTTCAGACTCGTCATGTTGTTTGTGCATCACAGAGGAACATGACCAGAAGAATGAACCAGAAGAATGAAACACTAAAGTTAAGTGCACACATAAAAGGATAAAAAGCCTAATACAAATTAAAATAAACCAAAATCAGAACAGACATGTATATTTTGTTCGGCATATCAAATTCAGAGCTGTAAAGTAACATGTACTTCAGTTCAGGTCTCCAAAAACTTTCCGCATGTATGCTCTCGGAAGAACGAACAGCGATTAAGCACTAGAAGGACAAAGGAAGCAGAACAGGACTTGAATAACTAGCAACATAATCATCCAAAGACTATAACAATCGAAAAAGAGCTGAAGGAGATCATACCAATTTGTGTGACCATGCAATGCATGTTCCAACTGCATCCCCGATTGTGTTTAAATTTGTATAAGGCCTCATAAGCTCTTCTTCCGACTCCATGGCGACATAAATATGCACTTCATAGCAACTAGTTCCTAGTTGTGCTCCCCCAACAACTTGATTTGGGTCCAAGCTGTTTAGCCACCCTAGAGCAACAACCTTACCCTCCATATTTTTCAGAAGTACCTCACGCCCAGCCTAATATATGGAGGAGAAAAAAACAAGAAGAGTTATCACATGAATATGTTTATTCTATTTTAGTATTAAGTCATGATAAGGTGGTAACATAGAAGAGATGTAACTCTAATTAATTAGACTGAAGCAGTTAAACAGAATCAGCCATTTTACCTTCAAATTTTGTCCCAAGTTTGTTGAGTTGGACTGGTTTCCTAGTGATGACACTTGCTGATGTTGCAACTTTTCTTCAAATCTTGCAAGTAACCTCGAGGTGTTGTCCATCTTTTCTTCCATTCTTGCAATTGTTGCTTGTTGTTGTTGAACCAATTCCTGATGCTCCAAAACCATTTGGTAGCATGCATTTCGGCTTGGATTGCTGACCCATAAATCTGAAGGACACACTCCTAATCCCGTCATTCGAACTCTACCTGGAGGATCTTTGCCCATGACTTTGGCAAAGGTATCATTAGGTCCAAGTGGATCTTCTGATCCTGGAGGTAATTTTGACTGAATATCTTTCATTTCCATCTACAATAACAACACAAAAATTTTCAGCAAGCCATCAAGAGAATAATTAGGAATAATTAATGACAAAGTAGTATATATAAATCCTTACAACTTTAGCTCCAACTTCAGGATTTGAAGGATTACACTCAGAATCACAATAGCATGAAGCGAACAGCTCCACACGTGTGGGGGCTCGTCCTAATCTTTCAGTCTATGAAAAAGAAATTAATACCATGATAATTACATTTTTATCACTGATTTTTCAGTTTAAAACAAAATATACAGATCTCTTACAAATTCTGCATTGATTTCTGCAAAACTTAACTTTCCGGTTGTTGAATGCATCACCAACTTCTGCCTATGTTCTTTATTTCTTTCACTCAATTCCTGGACAGAGAAGTGTTAGTAGACGTTGACGTAGAAAATTCAATATGTTAGCGAAAATACGATTGTTGGTATAAAAAGGTAACCTTCACTTCTTCCATGTTCCAATGTAACAATAAACTTTTCTATTGATCTTCAACTATACGATCTGGTTTTCTTTTCACTGGAACATCCACAGCTAATGCAGGATTGAAATAACAGCGTTTGATTCTTGATTTCTAATTTTTCCACTTCTTGTTTGTGGATTTCAGAATCCATGGATGCATGCCTTCGGGAACTTCAAACCTCTCCTACAAAACAATGGATAAATATAAATGCATACACACAGAATACGAATGCATACACAAAGGATATTATTTACTAGAAACAATTCTAAAGAAATTAGGGTTTACCTTAACCATCCTTATTATTGCATCTTTTCTATCCTTATGCAGATGACGCCAATTAAACACATTAATTGGAACAAACTTGTCATTTCGTGCTAAAGTGCCCAGAAACTCAGTCAACTTTTTCTTGTACGGGCCGATGGGCTGGAAGTTCTTGTTAAATTCAATCACAATAGGTTTTGCATTAGGGACTTTGGCCCAAATATCACCCATGAGAGTTGGGCCTCGAGTGGCCTTTGGTTGTGGCTTATTTTTCACTTCACTTGCTGCTAGCACAACAAAGGACAAAGGACAATTAGATAGAAACCTTCCAAATTAGGCATTGAAAGACTGCTAATCGGTATTGAAAGATAAATACTCATGAAACATAAGACCCATTGAAAACAGGGACAAAGAAACAAAAAGGGAAAAAAAATGCAAGAATAGCTAATGATGAAACAATTAGTCATGGCTACAAACAATCAGTCATGGCTACCAATTTGAGTAAAAAAAGGAACAATCCTAACCTTTGTCATGGGTAGATTGTTGACCAATTTGGGACTGCGATAGCTCACTTGTCTGTTGATGTCCTTGATAACCAAAGCTTTTGCTAACCAGCCCCATTCACATGGATAAGATAGGTCTACGATAAGAGGGATTAACACCAAACATTGACATCTACTTTTAACCTAAAATATAGAACTTAACCTTGATCTAGATTTGATTCCCAATCCATTTCAGTTTCAGATTGATGGCTGTTAAGCTCTTGTCCTTGATGAGCAAAACTTTGACCAATCGCACCTATGAATAAAGTACAATGACAGGTTTACACTCTTTCAACAAGATCCCCCAGCTTCACCTAGTGGTCTAAACTAGAGAGCCCATACCTGGAAAAAAGGAAGTAGTGCCATTTTAAAGAATTCATCAAATTACAAAACGAAAATAGAAAGACAAATAATAAATGAAAACAGAAACTGAAAAGAATAAAGAAACAGGGACAAAAAAAGAATAAAGAAGTAGAGGCAAAAAATTAACCTCGATCAAGAGTTGATTGTCAATCAAGCTGTGACTGTGATTGCTCACTATTCTGCTGCTGGCCATGATCATCAAAATTTTTGTTGAGTGCCACTGCATACATGAAGGAAATGTGACCACAATTAGAAACATTAATCTCAAAACATTTAAAACTAGTTTACATACATATAGATATGAATTTAAACCTTGATCAAGAGGTAATTGTTGAACGATTTGAGTCTGCAATTGCTCACTGTTTTGCTGTTGAGCGTGATGAACAAAACTTTTATTCATCGGTCCTATCAATAATAACACAACAACACTACTTTAAATATTCCTCACTCCACTTATCAATAAGTAAGCTACTGAATCAATTGCTCACGATTTTACCTTGCTGCCCGTCAGCTATCATCTTCATCACGCAATCCATGAATCCTTTTTCTTTTTGCACAGGACCTTCGAGTCCTGTAAGCCATCGCTAGATATAGCCTGATAAAACAAACACCTATGAGATGGTGAATGAGCTACAATTCTCAAAATTAATGTGATTGAAAAAAAAAAAAGGATAAAAACATAATATAAGTTTGCGATTCCAAAAACACCATATCACGCAACCAAATATTCTAGCAATTAAAAAGTTTCCCCCTCTTATATAGGTTTTGCTACCAGCTTGATGAACTCTGAGCTTAAGGTGGTTTGTTTAAGCCTGTAATTAGTGTATTGAAAATTAAAGAGCAACCTCACCACAACCCCGAGCATGGTATGCTGTGATTTAGGTAACTAATCCATAGTTCCCAATGAATCCAAACAGCATACATGCAAATAAACCTGTGCAAGGCTACAATAAGTCCTCAACTTCTCCCAATCCGACTACATTTTTTCTACCACAAGTTGAACCTTTCATTGAGTTGAACCTTTCATTTCTGTGCAATTTTAGTATTCATTCATTCCCCGAACTACTAAAATCTCCAATTACAATGTGACTATTGTTATACAATAGCTTCCGTCAATATAATCACACACATAATTATCGTTCGTGAACCAACAAATTCCACAAACGAAACCGAAACATCGCACCAAACAACTTAGAAACTCAGATTCAAACCAATAGTTTATAACAAGAATTCAATCTGTATACACTAACTAATCAATAAACCAAGCAAATTACCCAAAATTAACAGCATGCACTGATTAATGAATAAACAAAACAAATTTCCTCAAAATTTTGAGAGTTTTGAAGTTACCGGAGTGAAGTCGAGGACAGAATTAAGTGTTCCGATTAAACAAAGCGGCTTTGATCGGAAGTTCACCGGAATCACCGAACCGGAATTGGAGAGCAAAGAACTTGAAATCAATCGGATGGATTGCTATGATCCGGAAAAGAAATGAGAGTAAAAGGAGCTTGGCGTGAATTGTTTGATTTGGATATTTCCCCGGCGACCGGTAGCGGCTGAACGGGCAGCACGAACGGACTAAATATCTTTTTCCTTTTTTGAGTTTTTTTTCCTCCTTAATGAGTATGGGGTTGACGTGGAAACAATTTGTATGTATACATGGTTGATGAAGCAATCTGTATGTTTCCGTTACTTTTCTTCTTCAAATTTTTCATTAAAAGAAAATTTTAAAACCTTTTTTCCCACTATTAAATTTCTTTTTTTTAATGAAATAATTACTATTTTATTATATGAAACTCCCAAGTTTAAGAAAACAATTTCATTTGTATGTATTTCCACACATTTAAGAAATTTGGCAATAGTACACTCTTAAGTGTCACATTAAATATTGTAATAGGACATTATAAAGTGATTAATTTATGTTATATTTTAACACACTTTTAAGTGTCCTATTAAATAATTTAATAGGACACAAAACTAAAATGGATACTTACTACTTGTGTATTACTCCCTCTGTCCCATAATTATTGTCCACTTTGCCCAAAAAATTTTGTCCCAAAATTATTGTCCAATTTGACTTTTTATGGATGAAGTTACACATTTGTCCTTAGTAAAAAACATTATCCATAAAATCTTAGTGGTTAAACAATTACTTATGTAGGGGTATATCCGGTTGTTTAAGGTAAAATATAATTAAGTTTGACTAAAAATAAAATCTTTCATTTTAGTAAAATTGGACAATAATTATGGGACGGAGGAAGTATTATGTTAAGGTACTTTCTTAAATTTTAATGGGACACTTTTTTAGAAAATGTCCTATTATATGATAATAGGATACTTTTGTCCCATAATAAGTTTATTAATAGACTTTTTTTGTTGTAGTGGAGGATAGCAAATATGAAGAAGGTAGAATAAATCAGTCGTCGGGTAGGTTAAAAGATTTGAGGGATTCATACCAAATTCAACATAATGAAAAAGATTAACTAATCAAAGATTAAAAATTAAATAATTCCATATTACCTTTCTATCATTAGTTTCAGATTGAAAGAAATGGACGACAGATGTCAGAATTCAAAATTCTCCCTATGAATTCAATTGTTATTCTAATGAGATCCGTCAATTAAAATAAAGAAATTAATTAACAAAAACGCATCCAAACAAAACCATCAGGAAGTACATGTAGTGCATACTTAAAAAATATCATTGTCAACATGGTTAATGATGGGCCAAAGTACAATGTTCAAAATACAATATGATTATAGAGTAGAGAGTAAATTCATAAGGATGTCATCCCGCTAATTGTACTAAGTTTATGAAATACAATAAAAAAGAATCAATATGGAGTCTGAAGTGTAATCTTATCGACCATAATAATGCTTATACTTGGTAATTCTAATCAAAGAGAATGAAAAAGAACAGATCTTGAATGAATTGAAAGTTGTAATCTCACATACACTCAACTTGATCATCATTGATCATTGCCTCTTTTCACTCTTTTCTCCATTTGATCAAATTCTCGCTCATGGCATAAGCACAAATTTGGTGTTTGTGCTCTGGCTAAATTCCAGATTTTTGTTTCCTATATATATAATTTTTTAGACAACTAAAAACAAAACTTTCATGATTAATTTTTATCGTGAAAAGGAAAATCAGGGAAGAAGAAATACACGTTACAGGGGTTATTGGCTTGCCATTCCCTATTAGCCTCACCTAAGAAAAGCTTGTATCTCCGCATGCTAGTTTGCTTCAAATTAGGCTGGTTGAGTAGATCTCCAGACCAGTAAATCAATCATGAAATCTCGAGAATAATTACGCAATAATTGAAGGCTTTCTCCTCACAATCTCAACTCAATAGATGATTCTGATACCGTAGCCTTACCAACCGCTGATACAGTAGCCTCAATGGCCTCTGCTCTTCTGTACCCTACGTAAGCCATAATTCTCTGCTTCTCCGACCTTGATGAAAAACATAAACGAACCTTCGTTGGTGGTTTGTACTTGTCGACGTCGACAAAAATTGAAGCCCTTCCACCTTTAAGAACAGATATAGGTTTGAAGATTTCGATACGCCGGTCATCCATAGCCTGAAACGAAGTAGCCACTCGTCTCTCTTTCTTTTCCAAAGTAATTTTCGAGGTTTCACTATTAGATGTAGACCTTTGGCCAACTACCTGAAACAACCCTCCCATATATATAATTTTCTTAGGTTTGTTTGAAGAATTTGTTTTAACGATTTAATTTAATAGATTGATGCAAGAGAGTATAATTTAAAATTAAAAAAGATTCCTAAAATAATAGATTGGGTTTTGAAGATCTGGTTGGAATTTTCAAGACTTTATTGTTTAAAATTGAAAAATCTTCCAACCAAATCAGAAGATTTGGTATTGGTAAAGAAGAAGATCTGCAGAAAATTTTATGAGATGTTCGTTTGAGTTTGACTGTTGTTCGTTTTATGAGCTGTTCGATTTGGTTTTTTTAACTGAAGATAATTTTTTCTTCCTTTTTAATAAATCAAAAAATGGAGAAAATTACCAGTCCTACGTGGCATTTGGAAAACTATCTTAGTTTCCTCTCTCTTAATTTTCTATTATTAAGTTATATATTTTCTATTATTAAGTTATATAAATTCCTAGTTATCATCTGCCTGCGCTAGGCGCAGTTGATACCCTATTTGTTTAACAAATTTTGTTGCAATATTTTTCTTTATTATTTTTCACAAAGAAAACATTAGTTAGTACATTAGCTTAACATATTCGAACATCAAATGATAATTCTTAAATTAATGTAAATATATTCATTTGCCCTTTCTTCGAATTGTGTTTCCCTTTGTCCTCAAGCCAACCGTGTATTATTAGTTTGTCAAACTTTGTTAAGTTCTAAGATGCTTTATTGCATTTGATTTGTAATTGATTGAAATTGTCATATATAATATAATATTTCCGTCTTGAAATTATTGTCCAGTTTGATTTTTACGGACGGAGGAAAATTGAACTAAAAACTAAAATCGAAACTGGACAATAATTTTTTCCGGAGGAAGCACTCCTTTTATCTAAAAAATGATTTTTTTAAAAAAAATAAAGTATGATTTGTTGCACGTTAAAATACAGGTACACTCTTATCCATAGTTAAATGGATCAAAATTCTCCGACTATTTTTTATTTTTTATGGTTTCTTGTTGTTAATGTTACGATGTTGTTAATTTAGCATTTATCTAAGTTTGATTAAATTTAGTCGTAGAACAACATTTTCTTGTTTTCTATTTCTGAATTGTCTCACAATTGGGCTTGGTTGTAACGTTGTCTTCAACTTTTGAGCATGTAGTGTACTTCTGTTTTCTTGACCCAAATTCAAAACGTTAGTGTGGCCTTGCTAGAGTAGATCAGTAGAATGAGTGACCACAAACCCAACCAACAAAATCCTATTCATTTTGAGCTTTCCACTTTATGTATAAGAATGGATGTCTCAAAATTTCAGAAATTATACCAAGCTATTATCTCAAGATAGTCTTCTTCCTTTCTGCTATCTTGTCAGTTGTCAGTCTCCGATCCATCTCTAATCACGTGTTACCCGAGATTGATACTCTTGGGCCAACGCTTCTATTATTGATTTATAGCCCAAACTATCTTCTTCGTTACATGGGCTTGATTTTCGGGTTACTTGAAATAGTGACCCAACCAGAAATGTGCCTAGTGATTATTAGCTTAAAATACAGTTGATTATGCTATCTCTTTGTTGGGAAAGCATTATTAATTTCTATTACTAAAGAAAAAAATTGGAAAAAAAATAATTTCTTGTAGTTTTTGCACCAGCAAGATTTTTTTTTTTAATCTCAATCGTAATCATTTTTTTAGTGATAATTATTGTAATAGGTCATAAATAGTCTCTTCGCCCAATTTCTATTTCGATAGTTAATTTTTTGTTTACTGAAATCAAACTCAAAATAAACAAGTAAAATAGAACTGATTAAGTATATCGTAAAATCTTACCGCTTGATATTGATCACTATGGAGTTAAATAATGCCATGCCTTGACGAAT